ATAGACAGACAGACAAAAATTCTAAAAACAATAGATTCGGCTTCTGTATCGATAATATATAATGACTATTTCAATGAGATTTTCCAAAAAAATATTTAATGTACAGATTCGACTCAGTTACCATTTTTAATTTAAACCAATAATGTAGCTTTTTACTAAAAATAATATACACATCAAATGTTCTTTCCTTATTTGGTCATATTACGGCTAAAAATCAACATGCGTGTCAATCAACGTGATGAGTGAGATGAGTTTCTCCACCCCACCAGGTTTTCTTATGAAAATATTTTATTTCAACTTAGAACCCCGGATGTCATGAATCGTAACCATTTAAAGCCCTAAAAAGCCAGTAGTATAGTATAGATACATTATTTATTCATATGTATCTCATATACCTACACCTCGTATATGAGTAATACTTCAACACATGCGTTTCAAAGTTGCCGAACTTTTGTAATATGCCGCCCATCATTTTATCATATGTGATACCTACATATAGTATATCTTAATATCTTATAATAAATTGTAATAAAGCCAAATATACTATAAATAAGCTTTGGTTTGTTTGTGTAATATTATATAGGCCTTTATAGTTTATTTATCTGTCTATTCAAACAAATTTGATAGATTTTAATAGTCTTTTTAAACATTCTTGAAAGCTTCGCACCTAACGGGCTATGTATATAATAGTTTTCTCCTGATCGATTCCGGCCACGGCCGTCAATCTCTCTGAGACTAGCCAGACGCGCATGAGATATAATAGTGAACAAATGTACGCACAGACATAAGTGCACTCTCTATTTCTTTTACTCTCAAAGTCAGACGGGACGATACTTCGACCGGTGAGAGTTAAAGCATAGAACCGACAGCTTAATGTCCTCTTCGAGGTATGGGGGTGAAACACCGCCAATTTTCCAACTCCAGACTACTAACCGGGATATCTGTGAAGGGATCCCACCCGGTACTCAAACCAAGGACCTCCGGATCTGCAGCCGAGGCCACAGAGGCAGCACTACGAGTATATGCAATTATCTTTTGAGAAATCGATATTAACCTTCTTCTTATTATTATCACTAGTGACTCACCCTTGCTTCGCTCAGGTTCGTCCCTAGCTTGATTCCCCATACGAACTTTCATTCCCACTTTCACCCTCTTAAGTGATGATTTCCGGGTTAAACATTATCCTATGTCCTTTCCAGGGTCCCAAACTATCTTCTTACCAAATTTGATCGAAATCGGTTCAGTAGATCCAGAGATTACCCCCCACAACGTCACAAACTTTACCTCTTTATAATATTAGTATAGATATAGATTACGCTTTGTAAATATATGAAATCTAGATGGGAATACAATAAATTATATACCATGAAGTTAGTAGGCAGATAGTTTAACTCTTCAAAGTATTCTCGTGAGTTTCGACAGAATTATTTTGACAAGACAAGCCATTATAGTTAGTCAATAGTAAATTATGTATAGTGGTAATATCAAAAATAATGTAAAACCAAGTGAATCTACTAGTAGTACCAAGTATATGCATAAGTTACACACAAAACAAACTTCTCAAAAATGCGCCACAAAAATTCTGAATTACAAAATATGTCGTGACATACCTCTCATAAGGCAAATAGGATCTTTTTTGCATACCGTATTCATGCAAATCTTTATTCATGTTCCTAACTGGAACATATTGGATTTTTACGTTTTATTTATTAGCACTTGAGTGTTGTTACTACTCTTTCAATTAAGATATTTCTGATAATAATTGATAATTTATTTAAACATCTACATACCTCATTTACGTTGTAAGTAAGTCTGAGAAGTAACATTTTTTGCATGTATTGAAAATTCTGTTTTGAATGGAGATTTATAATTAGGTGTCCGTCTTCGTCTTAGACCACACGAACTACCGACATGACGGCCGCGTGCGATAGAAACCGAAAAGATATATCTATACATATAATAAAATTGTAACTAAGCCGAATCTGTACATTAAATATTTTTTGAAAAATCTTATTGGAATAAACATTATTATCGATACAGAGGCCGAATCTAGTTTTTAGAATTTTTGTCTGTCTGTTACCACATCACAGAAAAACCACTGGAGGGATTTTGATGAAATTTGGTATGGTGATAGCTGGTTATCCGGGATAACATATAGGATACTTTTTACCGCGGGAATATGTCTCATTCCTGAGAAAAAATACAAAAACTGCAATGTAAGAGTATGCTAATAATTGTAAAACCTAAGAATTTGGTTTTTGATCATCTGAACGCGGGCGGAGCCGCGGGAAATGCTAGTTTTCTTAGAAAATTTTGGACAGCGCCGACTATTATAAAAATGTTCAGGTTAGGGTAGTATACTATTAAAGTTGAAATATTGTTTTACAAAAACAGGCAACACAAGCTAAAATTTCCTATGTGTAGTACTACTAAAATGTATAATGTTTGGCCAATCTTATTTATTGGCAGTGGTAGCCCAATGGTAACACGTTCGCTTGAGAAACCGAGTGAAGAATCTCTGATGTTTTCATGTGCGAATTATTTCTAACATGATTGCCAATTATGGTGAAAGAAAACAATGTGAGTAAACCTGTATGTCTGAGAGAACCTAGCAAGTTTTCGAAGAACATGGTGTGAAGTCCTCTAACCCGTACGTAGTAGGAGGCCCGTGCTCAGCAGTTGGACGTTAAAAAGGCCTGAATACTACCGCACGAAACTAATTTAGATTTTGAGACACGGGGAAAATTTCATGACTCAATGCTTACTTGTCCCGACCCTGGACTTAAACCCGCGTCTTTCAAATCTGCAACCGTACAAGCTAGTCATTACACCAACATGATAGAATAATCAATAAGACTAATTATAATGCAGCGTTAGGTTCCTTTGACTCATTGCCATGAAATTTATAGGTCAATACGAAATGAGGTTACTAATATCATTTATTTCATAGTTTCGTTAAATATATCAACATTTATGATTTTTAAGGGTTGATTTTTTTTCCTACCCTTAAAAATCTTCTATTAAACTAAATACATGATCGTACTTAAAGTTGTAAATGTACATGTTATACTGTTATAACGTAACTATAATTTTGCGAAATATTAAAAGATGTGAATTGAATTGACGTTTTTTGTATATTGAAATAACTATAGTCCAAAAATATTGTTTCTATTTATTTTTTCTATCATCTAAGATATTTTTTCAATATTAAGATTATATTAAAGTGACAAAAATGTTTAACGCCAAAAAATATAATATCCTTCTCCGCGGCACATCAAAAGTTACTAAATAAAAAATAGAATTTAACTATGCACTAAATTTCCGATCTAATTTTTTTTATTTTATAAGGCTTAGGATTACTTACTGAGTATAAAATCATAAAATTCAGACAGATTCCAGTGAAGCTTCAGGCGCCATCTTGAAAAAACTTTTTTGGCCGATATCTCGGAAAGTATGCACTTTAGGGCAAAAGCTATTGAAACTATTTTTGTAGATAATAAAATTTCACATGTGTCACTGTTTGAACAAAACGTACGTCGCAGAAGCATATGGATAATATTAAATTAAAATATTGTTATAATATTAAATTATAAATTTGTTTGTATCATAAATACAAAAACGCAAATCTATACATATAATAAAACATCTGTTCATAGAAAAAAAAAATGCTCAAAACCGAGTCAGGGGGATGTAAGAAGAGAAATAGAACAAATCCAGATTTTTTTCAAATTTTTTGTTTCTCTGTCTGTTTGTTTGTCTGTTTGTACGGGCTAATCTCCGAAACTGTTGCCCGATTTAAATGACATTTTGCACGGTGTACCTTATATCCCCGGTCAACATTTAAGATACTTTTTATTCCGGAAAATTAAAGAGTTCACGTGGGATAGTTAAAACACTATAGTAAATTATACAGCTTAGTACACAACAACTTATGCACCTAATGTAGTAAAAGGCATGCTTATACCTTATATTGCCGGTCAAATAACAGGTTACTTTTTAACGCAGAAAAATGAACGGTTCCCGTGGGATAGATCTGATTGTGCTTTTCTAGAAGGGAATCCAAGCGAAGTGAGGGTGAGCCACTAGTAGTCAATATTTTCGTTCCGTTCTTAACGAAATTTGTTTACGTTTATACTAAAACAACTTTATAAGCCTACTTTTCAATGTGATCCAGTACATTTATCACGAAAATGGATATAAAATGTTTATTTTAACACGTGCAACCCTTAAAACTCGACATACATCATAATTTAAGTAACAGTTTCAATTTATGGAAGTGCTTCTAACAAATTGATAGATACACTTAAATAAATTGGCGTTAAATAAAATAAAACATTGTTATACTGACGCTACGCTAGTGCGAGTAATTTAATAAAATGTCACTTAAATACATAAGAAAATTTTATAAAATATTGTTTTCGTTTAAAACTGTGTTATGCATCCGTCTAATTTTTGGATATTACAGTGAAATTTTACCTTTAAAATTATTTCGTTTTTGCGCCAGATTCTACTGTATTTTATTTACGATTTTTATCATAAGCTACCATACTTACATTATACAATCGAGTGAACAAGTGATACCATTAGTACAATATATATTGCAAGAGTGTGCACTTTTTATTATTAATAAGCTTATATCCTTATACACTAAGGATCGAGCCATACTTAAATTTTATTCAGATATTAAAACGATTGACAAAGTGCTTGTAGTAAAAGAAGACTTTTTTAACATGAATATCACAATATTACTCGCTTGGATATGCCTAATTGCTAAATCTTTCTCGAATTGGTATTTTTTACCTTATGAATACTGGAGTATTTGGTCAGTAACAATTTTGATTACATTGTTATCAAATCATTTAAGTCATGTTCCAGGAATAATGTTGTTTGAATTGATGTGGTCTAGAATAAGGTTTATTGTAGCACGTTTAAAACTGATGTTTAATAATAAAAATTTGTGTGCTGAAGAAAAAATATTCGTAATAAAAAAATTCTTGCACATGTACAAACATTTACTGGATACTTTTTATCGCAACGATAATTCAGTAAAGTTATTGGTAAGTATTAGAAAGGAAAAAGGAAGAAAGCGAAGCCTTACTATTATTATAAATGTTAAAATATGTGTATTTATTTGTCCTTCCTTAAAAAGAGCAATGAAGTGAAAAATTTGGGTAATTTTTGACACACTTCACCAAAGATTTGTTACTTCTTCGAAATTTTATTATTGATATTGACGAAAATTACATAATGATTTTAAAATTTAATACTAATAATTCTGCCCTTTTTCATCCCACTGCTGGACAAAAAAAGGTTAAAGCTTCCCACATAAAATTAAAGACATAATCCCATCATCCTCGTAATTTGACAATTTAAAAAATTAAATGATTCCTGTCTAAATGTTTCAACTGAGGTTTATTAAATATTTACATACATTTATGTATGTTGATAACAACAAATATAAATTTGAATAACTAAATGCTCTCCTAAAATATGTATATACTCGTATTTAATATTTTATTAAAATTTTCTTTCTAATTTTTTTCAGATATTTTCCAATCTTATATTCTCATTTTTAAAGCAAGTACACTGTTTCAATTTTAGCATTAGTTCATTTATTAATAATGTAAGTATGTATAATTTTATATCAGATAAAGAGTCTTATAATGAAAGAAACTAGTCTCAAATTAAAATATAGTTAGAGTTTTTGGTAAACTTAATCCCGTTTGAAGTTAATAAATTAATTTTGTGATGATTAAGAAAATAAAAAAGCTTCTTTATTTTTAGGGACACATCGGAATATCTTTGAACACCATAGCCGAGGCGATCATAAACACCATAATGATGTGTTCTGCAACTTTTTTAGCTGAAATGGTTCTAAATGAGTATGATGAAGTGAAAGAAATGCTGGGTGACCTTTTGATAATGAACAAAGGTAATCTAAAAATAATTATATATGTTATATTACGTAGCTAGTGTCTCACCCTCGCTCCGCTTGGATTCATCCCTAGGTAGTAGGTACGAATTGACGATAAGTATAGATTTCTCCGAGATGAAATATTTTACTGCAGTTGTTTTCTCCTTATCGTTTCCAGACAGAGATAGACAGAGAAACAGGCTGACAAAAATTGTAAAATCTATAGATTAGGCCTCTGTATCGATAATAATGACTATTTCAATAAGTTTTTCCAAAAAAAGTAAGTGTAATATTGACGATGTCTATAAATAATTATTTAAATGGTTCTAACCAAGATTGATGAAGGGGTTTGTTTTTATTTAGGACATAAGCTAGAACTGTATTAGTATAGCTATCATTAGCTATAATTTTAATAGGAAAATAATATAATTATTTCCTCATATATTTGCAATACAACAAGGTATTTATTTGTAGTAATTGTAATTGTTTAAATTTTCAGATGAAGATATACGAAAAATGATCTACGAGTGTCTGGAATATATAGAGACCAGACCGCCTAGATATTCCATCTGGAGGATATTTTCACTTGACATTCAATTGTTTATAGGATTTATACAACTCTGCAGCACTTATGTTATCATTGTATTACAATTTCAGTATTAAAAATAAGAAAACTAATTATAAAAAAAAACTAAATAATAAAATAAAATTTGATGGCAGTTTATAATTGAACTTAATTTTTTGTCTCAAAGTACCTACTATCCAAGTATTTTTATTGTAAATATTGTCAGGTTATTATTGGAAATATAGCAATTAATCTGTTTCCAAATTTTAAAAACTATAATATTCCACTGACTTTCTCTAAATAATTAAAGTCAATATAGTGACAGAGTTTTAGGTTACATTAAATTAAAGTAAGGAAAATTTTACATTCAATTACGGTAATGCAAGAGACTTCTATAATAATGTCTTACTAAATAATTCCGGCCACGGCGACCAATCTGACTGAGACTAGCCAAATACGTCGAAGATATTCTTGTGCACAAGTGCACGCGCAGACACAACGTGTACTCTCTATTCCTTTTACTCTCAAAGTCCGACGAAACGATACTTCGTGGAAATCAATGAGAGTTAAGGGGCAGGACTGACGGCTTGACGTCTTCCCAAAGGCACGGGGATGAAACACCGCCAACTTCCCAACTCCGGGCTAATACTGAAAAGGGACTCAACCCGGGACTTAAACCAAGGACCTCCGGATGTGCAGCCTTACATGCTAGCTACTAGACCACAGAGGCCACAGAGGAAGCACTGTATGGAACTATCTTGGAAAATCGATATTAACCTTCGTCCAATTATTATCATATCAATTAAGCATTGTAAGTGTTTGAAAAGATGGCGTTACAAGTATATACCATAACGCTAGTAGGTAGATAGTGTAACTTCTTAAAGTATTCCAGTGAGTTTCAAGTTATTATAGTTAATCAAAAGCGTGTTTTTATTTTTTTTAAAGGCTAAACTAGACTTCATTTAAAACGGTCGAGTAAATCCATAGACACAGTGATTATCGTTTTTGAGGTTCTATATAAAATGGGAGCATATTATAGTGGTTATAACGTAAATAAATAATCTTCAACACGAGTGAATTCACAAGCAGTACTATGTATATGCATAAGTTAGTCCAAACTTATCAAAAATGCGCCACAAATATTCTGAATTATAAAATATGTCGTGACAAACCTCTCATAAGGCAAACACGATCTTTTTTGCCTCATACCTTATTCATGCAAATCTTTATTCATGTTTCTAACTAGAACATATTGGATTTTTACGTTTTATTTATTTTACAAGCAACTAGCACTTGACTACTGCTACTATTCTTTCAACTAATTTGACATTTCTGATAATAATTGGTAATTTATTTAAACATCTACCTCATTTACGTTGTAGCAATCATCACGAAGTCTGAGAAGTAACATTTTTTGTACCAATTGAAAATTCTGGAGCTGCTTTTGGAGTATGGAGTCTGGTTTTGAATGGAGCTTTAAAATTAGGTCTTCGTCTTCGACCACATTAACTACAGCCGTAACGGCCGCATACGAAAACCGAAAGATATTTTTTCTTATAAAATATTGACTGAAACCTGCATGTCTGAGAGAACCTAGCAAGTTTTCAAAGGAGAAGATGTGAAGTCCGCCAAACCGTAGTAGGAGGCCTGAGCCCAGCAGTTGGACGTTAATAAGGCCTGAATACTACTATACTAAACTTTAGATTTTGAGGCACGGGGAAAATTTCATGACAGAACACTCAATGCGCGGACAAGTACGTCCCGACCCTAGACAAACCAACTTGGTCAAACCCGCGTCTTTCAAATCTGCAACCTTACAAACTAGCCACTAGACCAACGCGATATAAAAATTATTAAGACTAATTATAATGAAGCGTTAGTTACCTTTGACTCATTTCCATGAAATTTATGAGTCAATACGAAATGAGGTTAATAATATCATTGATTTTATAGTTTTGTTAAAAATATGAAAATCTATGGTTTTTAAGGGTTGAAAATCAAAATCTTCTCAGTATTTGTTTTTTTTTAAACTATTAAACTAAATACCTACATGAGCGTACTGAAAACTATAAAGTACATGTTCTATTGTTATAACGTAACTATAATTTTGCGAAATATTAAAAGACGTGCTCTGAATTGACTCCTTTTGTAATTAAAATAACAATAGTCCAAAAATATTGTTTCTATATATTTTTTCTATAATCTAAAATATTTTTTCAATATTAATATTATACTAAAGTGTGTCAAATGTTTAACACCCAAAAATATTATATCCTTCTCGATAAAACAAAAGTATTTTATTTGTGTTTATACTAAAATAAATAATTTAAGAAAACGATCAGACCAGAGACCGATCGGAATCCGTTTATTTTTAAGAGAAATAAATTTATTGAAACCCTGAAGTTTTATGATTTTAAAATGTTAGCAGGTATATAAGGAATAGAAATTCGTAAAATGCCCAGTTACAATTTGGCCAGCTACCCCCGAGAAATGGCGGGACGCAAAGCGTAGAAAAATAGTTTTGCGTTGAAAAAGCGTTGCAAAATTAAAAAAAATATTTTTTAAACTATTGTAGTATCTTTTAGAAATGTGACTTAAATTTATACAATAACCCTTTAATCTTCTGTGCATCCATTAAATGCTAAGATATTGATGATAAAAAAGAGAAGGATCCTTTTTTTGTATTGAAAGTCGAATATCTCAAGAAAAAATAGACATACCTAAAGAGTTTAGTAAAAAAATTTTTGTTCATATTTACATTTTTTTGTGATTTTTGAACAAAATGATGACTAAATTTAATAAATATGAATTTACTATTAGCTGTTGAAGAGTTCCACCTATCCACCTTCTGGCCTTACCATCAGATCAGGTCAACGATACCGAACCACTGCATCAGCGGAAATAGTCACACTTGCAAAGTTTCAAATCAATATGACAATTAGAAGTAGGATAAATTCATCATTAGCTATTTTTCCACCCTTAGGGGGGTTTTTTTAATTGAAATGGGACCAATGTGAAAGTATGCACTTTCAAACAAAACAAAAATTGTCTAAATCGGTTAATAAATGACGGAGTTCTGAGGTAACAAAAAAACGTACAGCTGAATTTAGAACCTCCTCCTTTTTGAGAAGTCGGTTGAATATTGAAATCAGCTAGTTTTTTATATAGATACTAGATAGGTAAAGACAAAACAGTTAGGCCATTGTATATGTGTATATTGTGTGAGCATGGCGTATGTCGCAGAAGCACATGGATAACACAAAATCAAAAATATTTAAATAAATATTTGCATCATATATACAACAACGCAAATAGTCAATAATTTCGTTTCGTGCTTAACGAAATTTGTTTACGTTTATACTAAAACAACTTTATAAGCCTATTTTTCAATATCATCTAGTACATTTATCACGAAAATGGATATAAAATGTTTATTTTAACATGTGCAACCCTTAAAAATCGACATACATCATAATTTGAGTAAAAGTTTCAATTTATGGAAGTGCTTCTAACAAATTGATAGATACACTTAAATAAATTGGCGTCAAATAAAATAAAACATTGTTATACTGACGCTATTGCTAGTGCGAGTAATTCAATAAAATGTCACTTAAATACATAAGAAAATTTTATAAAATATTGTTTTCGTTTAAAACTGTGTTATGCATCCGTCTAATTTTTGGATATTACAGTGAAATTTTACCTTCAAAATTATTTCGTTTTTGCGCCAGATTCTACTGTATTTTATTTACGATTTTTATCATAAGCTACCATACTTACAATATACAATCGAGCGAAAAAGTGACACCTTTAGTACTTTATATATCGGAGGAGTCTATACATTTTATTATTAATAAACTTATATCCTTGTACACTAAGGATCGAGCCATACTCAAATGTTATTCAGATATTAAAACGATTGACAAAGTGCTTGGAGTAACGGAGGATTTTTTTAACATAAATATCACACAATTATTCGCATGCACATGCATAATTGCTAAATCTATTTCAGATTTATATTTTATACCTTTTAAATACTGGGATTTTTGGTCAGTAACAACTTTGATTACATTGCTATCAAATCATTTAAGTCATGTTCCAGGAATAATGTTGTTTGAATTGATGTGGTCTAGAATAAGGTTTATTGTAGTACGTTTAAAACTGATGTTTAATAATAAAAATTTGTGTGCTGAAGAAAAAATATTCGTATTAAGAAAATTTTTGCACATGTACAAACATTTAATGGATACTTTTTATCGCAACGATAATTCAGTAAAGTTATTGGTAAGTATTAGAAAGGAAAAAGGAAGAAATCGAAGCCTTAGTATTATTATAAATGTTAAAGGATGTTTGATCAACGTGCGTTCACCTTGTCGTGGCGGGGGGGCTCAGTAGTGCCCGGCAACCCAACCGGGCGCAAAGCCAAGAAACGCACAGGGAGGTTGCCCTCTTCGGAGGGCAGTGTACCATGCGGGTTGCTCCTGGTACTTCTCTGATAGCAGAGTGGACTGTGGAGCAACCCCATGGTTGTTGTGGTCTGCTTCGGCAGACCTGCCGTCGGGGCGTCGTAGTTGAATGCGTAAGCGATCCTGCGACGCCCCATTAAGACGGGGGAAGGTTTTGTTGGGTTTTAGTGGGTAGTACTGGCTTTGCCGGTGAGTCCCACACCTCGTGCGTAAATGCATTTCCCAACGTTAAAAAAAAATGTTTGTTTATTTGTCCTTCTTTAAAAGAGCAATGGAGTAAAAATTTCGGGTAATTTTTTACAGACTTCACAATAGAGTTGTTATTTCTTCAACATTATATTATTGTAATTCCCAAAAATTATATAATGGTTTTAAAATTTTATAATAATAATTCTGCCCTTCTTGATCGCACTGCTGGACAAGAAAAGGTACACATAAAATTAAAGACAGAATCCCATCATCCCCGTATCTCGGGGAGTATATGGACCATTTTTATACCGATACATTAAATCCCGTCTAATAGTTTCAACGAAGGGTGAAGAGTTTCATTTAGAAACCTTAATACAGTCCCCCACATATTATGTATGTATATTTAAATAACTAAATGTTCTCCTAAAATCCGTACTCGT